GAGAATTTGCCTCAGGATGAGTTGTACCTTCAGCCTCACCCATATCTAATTTAGCTGATATTTAGAGAAGACTCTGGACTTCAGACTTTTGAGTTGATGACAGAATAAATTAAGAGTTTTGAGGCTGTTGGGTTGGAATGAGTATATTTTGCATGTAAGAAGAACATGAAATTTGGGGACATAGGACCAAAGCCTATGGTCTGAATGTTTGTGTCCTCCCAAAATTCATGTTGAAATCTTAATCCCCAAGGTGATGGCAGTGGGAGGCAGGGCCTCTGGAAGGTGATTAGGTCATGAGGGTGGAGCCCTCATGAAGGGGATTAGTGTCTTTTTTAAAGGAGGCCTGAGAGAGACCTGTTGCCCCGTCCACCATAGGAGGACACAGCAAGAAGTCACCATATATGAGCTAGAAAGTGGGCCCCTACCAGACACTAAATCTGCTGGTGCCTTGATCTTGGACTTCCCAGCCTCCAGCACTGTAAGAAATAAATTTCTACTGTTTACAAAACAACCAGTCTATAGCATTTTGTTATAGCAGCCCAAACAGACAAAGATACCAGGTGAGGCCTCAGACATCGTGGAGCAAAGACAAGCTTGTATCTCCACTGTGCCCTGACTGGTTTCTTGACCTACAGAATCTGTGAGCATCATAAAATCATGCAAAAGTTTAATACCATTAGATTTTGGGGTACTTTGTTATACAGCAAAGGTTGAACAGAAAAAAAAAAAAAATCCAAACCTCCAAGGGTGATTGGAGGTGGTTGGTCAGCTTTCTCCTTCATCATTCACGGGACTCTGCACAAATCACATAAATTCTCAAAACTTCCATTTCTTTATCTGGGATAATAATAGCCCTCCTACCATCACGTAAAAATGAAGTCAGAAACCAATGAAGATGAAGCTTTTATGAAATGACACCATCAAGAGAAGCAAAGAGATTGCTACTCATAACTAGCCTTTCTGTTAATTGGAGAGCTGCACTCAGTGAATCACATAAGACACGCTTTCTGGAAAATAGTTATTAACCCAAACCCACAATGACAACTTACTGGATGTAGGTGGAGCTTTCACATTTGGTGAAAACCAAACCAAAGCCCTCCACAGTTTCCATAGGATGATCAGACAGACATGAGACATGCTCCCGCCAGTGACCTCACTTGTTTTGGATAATGACACACCGACTTGTGGGAATGCTTCTTGTTCTGATAATGAGAACTGGGAAGAGCCTCTCAGTCTTCCAGAAATAGATGCTGTGTGCCCTGCCAGCATGACACCCAGTGCCAGGGTACCCACTTTACCCATCGTGGGTTCCTTTCTATGAATCTGCTCAGAGGGGGGCTTTGGGGATTGAGGCTGGTTTTATTGATTGTATTCTTTAAAGAATTCATTTCTGTATTCAGTAGAACTCTTCCCCAAGTATACACCCCAATTGATTTTGTAGCAGTGGGAAATAATTAAACATGTTCTTCAAAGTGACCATGACACATAACTCCCATCTGTTGCCAGTACCCTCCTGCCCCCCTCTCCTGGGTGTTTTCTCACTTACAGCCTCTAACACTTCTTGAAAGAGTTCTTGGTTAGCCAGTGACTAGCTATGGAAGTTGCTCAAATCACTTGTCACCTGTAAAATTGAGATAATCCTGCCTCATAGGTCAGGGAGATCCCACATAATGAAACACTCTGCTGTGCAACTAGTAGATTTCATTCACTCATTCTGAAAATATTTAATGAGGCTTTTGCTATGTGCCAGACACAGGCCTAGATCCTGGGTAAACACTGGTGAAAAAAGCAGTCTCTGCCATCTAGGAGTTCCCAGGGCAGTAGAAGAAATGGAAGTAAACAGGTTAGGAACATAGAGTGGGATAGGCACCTCGAAGGGGGAAATAGAGGTGATAGGAAAACCAGAAAAAGCTCCCAAACCAGACACCGGAGGCTCAGAAAGCGCTTCTTGGAGGAAACGATGTTTAAATTGAGACCTGAAGAACAAGTAGGAGTTGGGAGAATACGGCAGATGGTGGAATGGAGGGGAAAGGCAGAGAATGTTTTGGAGGGTGGGATAGAGGGGAAAGGCGGAGAAAGGTGGAGAATGTAGTGGAGGGTGGGATGGAGGGGAAAGGTGATTCAGGTGGAAAGAAGAGGAGCTTCCAAGGCCTGGAGGCAGGAGGGAGCTGCTGTGGTTCCCCATGACTGAAGCTTGGAATGCAAGGCTGAGAGTAAAGGGAGAGGAGCGGGTAGGTAAGCGGGCAGGTAAGCGACAGGCAGGCGAGTCACACGGGCCTGGAGGCTACACAAAGGCCTCTGCACTTCAACATTTGAAAAAGCACTTAGCTGGTGGTGTGGAGAATGGATCAGAAGGGGCAAGTAGGAAGGCCAGAAGGCCATGGGGTGCCACCGCCAAAGCCCAGGGGCCATGCAGTGAGTCCTGCATGAAGGCTATTATACTCATATCCAACCCCTTCTGCTGAGGGGTTCGGAATGCAGAAACACAAGGAAGGTGCCTCTTACTCATGGTAATATGTTTTCTGGATAATTCTTATAAGCAAGGCCAGCTTCTAATGAGTCAACAAGAAACGTGGAAGAAAGCAGCATGGCAGAAGAGGCAGAAGTACCCTGTCCCCAAGCCTGGTCTCGAAGGGCCAAGGAGATGACACTCCCCAGAACCACAGTGAGCTTGGCCTCTGCTTTCACTCCCTTTGAGGCAGAGCCCAGCCACTGGGAGCCTGGCCATTGTGTAGGCCTGGGGTATATGGCTGAACAGGAAACTGCTTCTCTGAGAGAACAGCTGAATGTCAAGAGGGAGAGGAAAAGTGGAATTTCAGAATTGGGCCCCAAATAGTTCCAACCCAATTTTCTCACTGAAATTCTCACCACACCCCAAAGAAAACAAGCCTGACTCACAGACCACATCAACGCTGGAAGGCGGGGAAGCCTGGCTGGGTGCTGCTGCCCGCCTCTCAGGACTCCTCTCCCGCGCTCCCTGGGGCACACGCGGAGAGACAGTGATCCTTATTACCCACACCCACCTCCACTGCCCCATGGCTCCGGCCACCTCCTTCTTCCTCCCCTGAGCTTTTAACTTCCAAGCTGTTGCCAAGTGGAGGCAGGGAAAGCAGTTGAAATATGATCAGGGAGGAGGAGGAGGAAATTTTTGAAGCCATTCCAGGGGCCACAGAACTGGGAGCGTCCGCAGCTGATTCAACAGATGAGGAGGCAGAAAAGGGTCAGGAAATATGAACAAGTCTTAGGGTCAGAATTCTAGTTCCACTACATGGTAGCTGAGAACCTGGGGCAAATTAATAAGCTTCTGTTGAGCTTCAGTTGCCTCAACTCGAAAACGAGAAGAATAATGTCTCGCTTCAAGGGTTACTGGAAAGCACCTAGCCCAACATCTGAGATAGAATAGGTGCTTGGAGAATATGTAGGTATTGCCTATACAACTCATAACATTTATCCCATACAGTTTCTACTTGTGCTAGACTTGATTCCCCCAGCTAGTCTTACAGGCAGCTTGACGGCACGGACTCTGTTATACAGTTCTTCTTCCCAAGCACCTCACACTTAATGTGGGTCAATACATATTTCCAGGCTGACTGATATATCCAGATATCCAGATATCCAGATCTCTGCAGGAGCTAATCTAATGCCAAAATAACAAAGTCTTTGGCATTCAGAGCACATAGTATCCCCCTTTAATGCGTTAAGCACGGTGGCATTTGCACACCTTTCTTCCACATGTTAGGTGTAGCCTAGAAGTAGCCAGTCCGTAGAAGAAATCTGAAGTGGTTTGAACTGTGTAGGGCTGGTGCTGCACTGTCTGGGGGCATCTACCACTCCCCAGCAGTGTGATCTTGAGTGAGTAACTGAACCTCATCTGTAAAATGGGAATATTCAGGGTACTACCTCAGAGTTGTCGGGAAGATAAAGAGTATACGGAAAGCACTCAGAATTGTGCCTGGCATGGGGTTAACGTTCCAGACAAACTCATCACCACCACACCCATCATTGTCATCATTGTCAAAGCACAGTTTGCTGAGCTGGCAACAAGGGAAATCTTACCCCAGATAAAGATCCTGCCACCTGTGCCAGGGAGTCCACACTGTGTAGGGGAAGGGTACAGAGCTGGGCTGACTTTCTGGAATAGCCCATACGGCAAGGTGACTTTGTGGAAGTACCTTGGAAATGTAAAATGTGTTACAAATATTAGTGTTATAGTTTTCGTTTTTCCTGTATATACAGTACTTTAAAATCTAAAAATGGTATCATAAACATAATCCTAGTTTTCACTTATTTAACAACATACCATGCACTAGATACTGTGCTCACTGCTTTACACAGATGTACTCACTTAAGGTACTCAACAATTCATAAAGGTAGAACCATTTTCTTCCCCACTTTAAGGATAATGATATTCAAAAGTCACTCAAGGTCTCAAGTGGGATTCAAACTTGGGTCTGTTGGCTCTCAAGTCTATGCTTTTAACTATAATATATTTGTGGATGGAATATAAGTGTTCTGAGCTGAATAAGATGCCAGTGGGCTCAGATTTTTGGCCACATGCCAGTAACTCTGCTCTCAGATTCTGAGGGTTCTGCCTCCCTTCAATAAGCATCAAGGCATCTCAGTACTGCAGAGCACGTACCAGTGCTTTGCTACTGAAGCACTAGGAAGAGGAAAATCACTCTTCCTTTCCCTTGTTCCAAGTTAACCATGTCAAGCTTGATTTGTCTACCTTGGAAGAATCCAGAGCTCAGGTGACCCTGCTAAGATTTTAAATTACAATTCTCTTAAAATTTATGTTACTTTTTAGAATATTCAGGACAATAAAAAAAATTACAATTCTTGAGTCTAAGGATTTGCAACCTAGCCCAGAGACCGTTTCATTTTCTGGCTAGGACATGAAAACAAAATACAATACTCCCCTCCTTCTAAAAAAAAAAAATCGTTTTTCTTCCTAAAATCAAAAAAGTACTTTGCAGTTAAGAAAAAAAGACGACAAGCAATTGTAGCTTATTTTCCTTTATTATCCCAAAATATCTGTGCGAATGGGACAATGTCGCAAAACAAGGCAGAAATCTGTAGCCAAGTACGTCTCACTCAGAGGAAAAAACTGATTGGACAGAAGGCACCAGAAATTGCATTTTGTTGGGTTACATGTAAACAGGAAATGGGGGGAAAGATTCACGAAAGAGAAAGGAATTTGCACCGTCATTTCATTGCCACATCCTAAGGATGAAGAATGGCCTTGCTCGCTGCTGATGCTCCATCTGCACCTTACATTGTAGTGTAAACTGTACCTGATGCTAAGGAGACAAATACCCACACAGCAGCAATGCAGAAGGGCATGAAAAGGAATTGAGATTGATCTAAGCCAGCAGGTCCTCTTTCCCTCATAGCTCCCAAGGGCATCTTCTTTGGCAGTGCCTTGCAAATGCACTGCTCGTCAACTGGTTAGTGGAAAAGTCAAATCCTAAAAAGCTTGGTGAATACATTTTGTTTCTGTCATGCTCTTCAATCAGATGACTTGGATGGGTCTGGGGGTGGAGGGACGTACCACATCTGGCCTGTCTTCTTAGGTGATGACGGTGGGTGCACTGCGTCCCGTCCTCTCCTGCAGCTGGGACACTTTGAGAGCAATGGAAATAAGGGGGGCCAACATGACCTGAGGAAGACATAGAGAGAAGCTTTTCCATCACTTCCTCTAAACACAGATGCTTAGCTCCAAAAGCATATGTCTGACTGCCCACTTCCAGGTCTCCAAGGCTCCTCAAACTCCAGAAGTCCAAAAACAAACACATGTTATATCCCCCAATACCTAGTTCCAGCAGTTTCTATTTCAGTGGATCAACACTACTGTCTTTCATGTAAAGTGAACAAGTAGGAGTTGCTCCTGACATCTTCCTCTGCATTTTCCCCATGCTCAGTCCATGAGCAGGCCTAAGTGACTTTTCTCCGCTAAATCTCTCTCCACGGCCCCCTTTTCTCTCCACTCTCCGGCTGTAACTCTTGCCAAGTCAATATCCTCTCTCTTACCTGGAGCACTGAGTGCCTCCACATCCACTTGTATATCTTCCACTTTCTTTCCCACACTGTACCCAATGGGGTTGCTATGGTTTGGCTCTGTGTCCCCACTCAAATCTCATCTTGTAGCTCCCATAATTCCCAAGTGTTGTGGGAGAGACCCAGTGGGAGATGATTGAATCATGGGGGTGGGTCTTCTTTGTGCTGTTCTCATGATAGTGAAAGGGTCTCATGAAATCTAATGGTTTTAAAAACAGGAGTTTCCCTGCACAATTTCTCTCTTTTGCCTGCTGCCATTCATGCAAGACATGACTTGCTCCTTCTTGCCTTCCACCATGATTGTGAGGCTTCCCCAGCCACGTGAACTGTAAGTCCAATTAAACCTCTTTCTTTTGTAAATTGCCCAGTCTCGGGTATATCTTTATCAGCAGTGTGAAAACAGACTAACACAGGAATCTTTTTTTTTTTTTTTTTTTGAGACAGAGTTTCACTCTTGTTCAGGCTGGAGTGCAATGGCGCAATCTTGGCTCACCGCGATCTCCGCCTTCCAGGTTCAAGAGATTCTCTTGCCTCAGCCTCTCTAGTAACTGGGATTACAGGCATGAACCACCATGCCTGGCTAATTTTGTATTTTTAGTAGAGACGGGGTTTCTCCATGTTGGTCAGGCTGGTCTTGAACTCGCGACCTCAGGTGATCTGCTGCCTCCCAAAATGCTGGGATTACAGGCGTGAGCCACTGTGCCCAGCCTAATACGGGAATCTTTAAAAATGCAACAACCCCTCCCCACATCTACTTCTTGCTTAAAGAAAAAAAAAAAAAAAAGAATTGTGTTGCTTAAGTAAATAAATGCTTTCAATATTAAAAAAAACAACAACTAATAATCTAGTTGAACTGCCCATTTTACAGATGAGAAAATTGATACCCAAAGAGATGAAGTAATTTGACTAAATGACTCAATAGCAGAGCTAGGAGTAGTACATTTTCTACTGCTAACTGCTACTTTTTCTTGTCTAAATCTCCACCAATTCATTATACCTGGATGAGGAGAATCAGCTCCACCTGCTGAAACTGCCATATGCAATTCCCCTTAGGGCTTGGGCAGTCCCCACAAAGTGTTGATGGCCTAGCAGCTGCAGAATAAGGGAAGGCAGCTCCCCGGCTAGATGGTGATACACCTGGGCATTGTGGGATCCTCACACCATTCACTGCCATCCCACCTCCCGAGGACTGTGGTTCAGAGGAAACAAATTTCTTTCATTCTTTGAATCTACCATGTGCCAAGCATTTATCTTGATGATCAAAAGACAAGTAAACACAATTTCCTTTTTCCTTTTCTCTTGTGCTATTAAGTCTCTATAATGCAGACCCCATTGCCTTTGGATGAAGTTTTAGGGATGCCTACAACACAACAGGGTACTGGTGATGACTGAAACTGGGGCCTGCCCACTGGAAAAAATGTAAAAGTGAAGCAATCTCTCATCTCCTGCTTTATGTAATAAAAGCAACTATACTACTTATGTGAGGTACCTACAGTGGTCAAATTCAGACACAGGAAGGAGAAAGGTGGTACCAGGGATTGAGAAAAGGGAGAAGTGGGGAGGCGCTGTTCAATGGGTGTAGAGTTTTAGTTTTGGGGAAAAAAAGTTTTAGAGATACGTTGGACAACAATATGAATATGTACAACATTACTAAACTGTATACTTAAAAGTGGCTATAATAGCAAATTTTATGTTATGCTTAAAATTAGACTAAAATAACTATGAGAGCTGCTTATTCTGAAAAATTAATGGTATATGCCAACCACAGTGTTTAAACATTTTGCATTTATTATCTCCTTAAATCCCAGTAACAACTGGATGAAGTAGGTATTACTTTGCCATTTGACAGACAAGAAAACCAAGACTCATAACATTGTAACGACTTACCCAGGGACACACAGTTATTAAGTGGCAGGAATAGAATTTAAAACAAGAGCTCTCTAACCCCAAAATCTTTGCCCAAAACCACTTTGCCAGGGGTTTCCAAATGAGTTTCACAGGATTTTAATTAGGTGTTAGAAGAAAAAAGGCTTTGTGGAAAAATAAGCATGGCAAATGCTATTTATTTTATTTTACTTTTAATTTTTTAATAAAAATTGTTTATGTTTAAGGTATATAATATGATGTCTTGATATACAAACACATAGTGAACTGATTACTAGAGTCAAGTCAACTAACATATCAATCTTGTCACCTACTTACCTTTTTTGTTGTGGTGGTGCTAGTGAGAACAATTAAGATCTACGCTCCTAGTACCTTTCAAGTGTTATTCATTATAGCCATCATGTTGTACATTCCATCTCTAGAACTGCTTCGTACTACAAAACTGAAATTTTGTACCCTTTGGACCAACATCTCTCCATTTTTCCCATCCAGTAGCCCCTAGTAAGCCCCTTTCTACTCTGTTTCTATGAGTTTCACTTTTTTTAGATCCCACATACTAGTGAAATCATGCAGTATTTGCCTTCCTGTGTCTGGCTTATTTCACTTAGCGTAATGTCCTCCAGGTTCATCCATGTTATTGCAAATGGCAAGATGGCAAGATTTTGGTTTTTGTTGTTTTAAGGCAGAATAGTTTTCCACTGTAGTATACACACACACACACACACACACACATATATATCTCACAATTTCTTCATCCATCTGTAGATGTGCACTTAGGTTGGTTCTCTATCTTGACTATTGTGAATAATACTGAATGAACAAGAGAGAACAGATATCTCTTTGACATATTTATTTCAGTTCCTTTGAATATATATCCAGAAGAGGGATACTGGATCATATATTAGTAGCACCAAAAAATTTTTAACTTTTGAGGAACCTCCATACTTTTGGTTATTCCAAAATAGCTCTACCAACTTACATTCCCGCCAATAGTGTCTGAGGGTTCCCTTTTCTCCACATCCTTGCCAACGCTTGTTATCTTTTCTCTTCTTGAGAATGGCCATCCTAACAGGTGTGAGGTGACAGCTCACTGTGGTTTTGATTTTCATTTTCCTGATGATTAGTGATGTGGACCACCTGTTGGCCATTTGTATATTTTCTTTGGAGAAATGTCCTTCAGTAAATGCTATTTAAACAGTTACCTTTACTGCAAGTCTTCTTGGCACCCTCTTTTTTTCTTTCCTTTTCTTTTTTTAGAGATGGGGTCTTGCTATGTCACCAGGCTGAAGTGCAGTGGCTATTCACAGGTGCGATCCCACTACTCATCAGCATGGGAGTTTTGACCTGCTCTGTTTCCAACTTGGGCCTGTTAGCCCCTCCTTATGTAACCTGGTGGTTCCTCTCTCCCGGGAGGCCACCATATTGATGCCAAACTTAGTGTGGACACCCTACAGGCATAGCACACTATAGCCCAGAATTCCTATGCTCAAGTGATCCTCCTGCCTCAGTTTCCTGAGTAGCTGGGACCACAGGTGTAGGCCACCATGTCCGAATTCTTGGAGCCTTTATGGTGCATTGTATGCTGTGAATCACTGAGAAGGGGCTAATGTACCACAACACTTCCCCAACTTTTTTCTAGCTATGGAGCTCTGGTTGAGATGAGGGTTGTGAAAAACACTTAAACTGTCTCCTGCACTTTACTGCTTTCCCTTGGCTTCTCCATTTTTGGGGGTTGTCCTTCAAGTTCACTGTCCCACCCTTTGCTCCCAGAGTCCCTCCTTACTCTGATATACTTCTGAAGACTTTTTGGGGAATGGCTGAGGAACCCAGCTCACCAGGCTGCAGGTCTGCAGACTGTTCTGTGAAGACACATGAAACTATGCCTCTCCCTGTCCCTCACCAAATCTAAGAACCAGTGTGTGTTCTGCCCAAGCAGGTGATCAGACCAAACAAAGCAACAAAAGGCTGGTGACAGAGCAGAACACCAGATGAGGGCTGACTTAAAGATCAGATACCCCGGGTTGGGTGCAGTGGCTCACACATATAATCCCAGCACTTTGGGAGGCTGAGGTAGGAGGATTACTTGAGGCTAGGAATTCAAGACCAGCCTAGGCAATGTACTAAGACCTCCACCTACAAAAAAAAAAAAAAAAAAAAAATGGGCAGAGCATGGTGGCACGTGCCTGTAATCCTAGCTACTCAGGTGGCTGAGGTGGGAGGATTGCTTGAGCCCAGAAGGTGGAAGTTGCAGTGAGCTGAGACTGTGCCACTGTACTCCAGCCTGGGAAACAGAGTGAGACTCTGTCTCAAAAAAAAAAAGAGAGAGAGAGACTAGTTATCCTTCTAGGCATGTAAACCTATGAACTGTTGCTTAACTTTTCTGTGCCTCAGTTTCCTTATCTGTAGCAGGGAGAAAAACAGTCTAAGTTATTTGAGAATTAAATGAGTATATTTTCATAATGGGCTTACAACAGAGCTTGGCAAACCATAAGCTCAGAAATTGTTTATTTTTATTATTTATTTATTTATTTATTTATTTTTTTGATTCAAAGTCTCGGTCTTGCTCAGGCTGGAGTGCAGTGGTGTGATCTCAGCTGACTGCAGGCTTGACCTCCTGGGCTCAGGTGATCCTCCCACCTCAGCCTCCCTATTTTTATTATTATAAATTATTATCTGTAATGTTGCGGACATGGAGAAAGAAACATGGAGGTAAGTGAGCACTGCTGGTACCTTGTTGAGTCATTTGAGAAGTAGGCATTGAAACACAGGCTCAAACCATCATTCTCTTGAACAGAATGAACTAACCAGGGTACAGGACTGGGCATTACCTGAGGGTCCTGGTTAATCTTAGCAACATCCTTCTCATAGCTATCAATGTACAGCCGAATGGTGGCCCCTGCACTCCCAGTGCCGCTCAGTCGGAAGATGATTCGAGAACCATCTGTGAAAATGAGCCGCAAGCCCTGGAAAATATAAGCAGAGATTTTTTTCCCCATATGCTGGGAGATTGAAGGCTGGCAAATTATGAGGGGTCTATTTGGTGACGTAATTTCATCCATATTTGATCAATTGGAGAGTTAAATCCTTGATAAATGGCACTAGCTGCCCCTCGTAAGCCTGCCTTCCGTCACCCTCTCTGCATCCAGCTGATGGGGGCTTAGCTATGGGGGGAGAAGCATTTCCAGGGTCAGGGGAGACCTGACCTCAGTGATGCTGGGTGAGGTGAGGGCTTCCCTGCTCTCCCCACTTCCCTGTGATTTATGGACTAACCATTCCAGTTTGAAGCTTAATAATGAAGCACATAAAGCTGCTAGATGCAGAAAAAAAAACCCCCAGATCAAGAGGGAAACACGGACCAAAGGAGCTGAAACCAGAGCAGAAGAGGTCTCTGGCAGATGAGGGGAAGGACTCTTACAAACCACCAGCAAAAGTCCTCAAAAGAGAACAGGAAGCCAGAGGTCCCAAATGGCAGAGAATGGCTATTCCCAACCTACCAAGCAGGGGCCAGTGGCCAATCTCCTGCTGATCCCTGATGACTCAAAGCGAGGTCCGTGTGCAGTGCCAAGCCCATCCTTCTCTCTGCTGCCCCCCTTTTTTCTCCCCAGCAGTATCTCTGGACATCAATTATCTTCTCACTTGGGGAAAAAACTGTGGGATCTCTGGGGCAGATATTTCCCAGCCTGAGGAAAGAAGGCTGGGCCAGACAGTTGCCTGAGGACTCTTCAGTCTTTATGAGTCTACCCATCCTCCGTAAAAAGGAGAACCTTGCATAACGCCAAAGACTGACCAGAAAGACACTGCTCCTCACCTGCTGTTCGTCACCAATCCCCATCTGGTGTTTAATGGTGCTATTCATTAGCTCTGATTAGTGAAGACAGCAGAAGAAATACACAGAGGGCATGCTGCAGTTAGTCACCACGGGAAGCATACGGTCCATTTTCAGTAACCATTTCTCGCTTTGTAGAAACACACCAAGGTTGGTCTCCTTTCCCCACAGCTTCAACTTGAAGACTCTAAAATTCTTTTCACTAAATTGCAGAGGTTCTATCTACATATGTTGGATCATATTTTTCCCTTCTATCTGGTCTCACATCGAAATGCTTGGGTTTTCTGCCGACAGAAAGTGTGGCAGCTGCTTTCTTTACAGCACAGAGAGCAGCCCTCGAGCTTAGGCCACTGCCGCCCATACACGCCTTTGCACTTCTCCTCCCTCCGGGCAGATGCCAGAGGCACTGCAGGGCTGGCATTTCCTTTTCCTGGATTTCCCTTCTGTCTCTGAGGGTTTAATTACACAAACATCTGTCCCACTCTGCCATCCCTCAGCTCCACTCTCTCCTTTTCTACATCCCTTTCTTCCTCAACCACAGGTCTCTCTTCTAATTACCTCAGGCATAATTTACAATCATCCAAACTGGACCCAAAGTTCTCAAAGATGGCAAACAAGCACAAGGATGAGAAACCACTTGTGCTAAAAGTTGAGGAGGGGAGACTCCAGGCACTGAGGGTCGCTGTGGCCCAACCATCCATTCACTGCCTACTCCCCAGAGGGAAGCTTCCAGTAAATCCCACAGCCCAGCCCTTCTGAACCCGATGCGATGCCTTGACAAGGACCAGGCCAAAAATCTGGGTCTATAGGAAAAAAGTAAACTGGGAAGTTGTAATAGAATTTTCATCCCCCTCTTTATTCTATTATGAATTACAAGAGATGAGTCTACTCTGTGACAAAAACAGCCAACAGAAGCAGAGGTGAGAGAACCCTGGGCGTGAGAAGCTGGGAGAAAGCCTGACCCAGCCTGCAGCCTAGGGTACCCGGTATGCAGTAAGGGAAGCACTAACAATCCTGTCCACATCTAGAGATGCTCCGGGTCCTAAACTGTGGCATCTTGCCAGGTACTGCTGTGTCAGGTGGGGTGCCAGTCATGTGCTGCGAATGATGATGCAACGTTTCTAAGTCTGGGAATGCCTCATCTATTTTTCTCTTCTTTAGAAATTAGAACATATGAGAGAAACATATAAGGATAATGCCACTTACATGCTGTCACTCTGCTATAACCTGCTGACAGAAAAGAGAGGAGTTGATATCTAAGTTCCCACAGTTCTCCCTCTTTCTTAGATTCTGGGGCTCCTTTTTGCATGTACAATGGACACATCATCTTACATATATCTGGCAAAAATCCCTCTGGAGTTCAGGTTAAGGATCCCAGAATGAGGGTACCGGACAGTGCATAGAACCAGGGCATAAACCACTGTCCCAACGAGTGCATGTGAGAGTCACGTGGGATAGTAGAAAACCAGGTAAGAACAGCCACCCTAGAAAAACACGGCAGCAAAAGAAAAACGGCCAACAGGAACTTTTTCATTTTTGCCTTGAGATGTCAGAGATGAAGCTCTGAGGTCTCTCCCCCACTTACACACAGGTCTGTTTCTACCTGATTTCTTGAAATGCTTCCATCCACGGGGTCGCTGTATTCAAAGTTATCGGCCTTCTCCACGGTGTAAACTTTGTCATTTGCTGAGAACTGCTTCCCCACAAAGGAGCGATCAAACATCAGGGCCTCCAAGTCCTTCATCATTTTGTTTGCACCCTCAGCTTCCACCTCCTCGTAATCATACCTGGAAGAAGTCACGAAGTTGAGACCCACGGGCTGACTGCAGATCACACCAAGGCCTATCAGTCAGCACTTTCTTCACCATTTGTTTGGCCCTCCCCCAAAACTATCTAACTTCAGAAGAAGCTGGCAAAAAAAAAAAAAAAAAAAAAATACAGGCCTGTCAGTCACTGGGGATGGAACAGGCCAGGGATGAAAGGAAGGGTTTGGAGGATTTCAGGGAAGGGTTACGAGCTTCTGAATAAGCACAAAACACCCATCTTGGCATTTCTACAGAATAAAGCTCTAAGAGGTTTCAAAGGCTTTTGAAAGATGCTATCTAACGTTTAATCACCACATCCTGAGGACGTAAAATGAAAAGCAATGTTATCTCTGGAGAGCTCCCTTGAAAGGAGCAAGTGACTCAGGCACTTCTCCAAGCTCCCTGGGCTTCTCTAGGGTGAATGCAGGGCCTGCTCCCAGCCTGAGACCCGCCTTAGGCTGCTGAGATTTTTACTAAGGAGAGTTCCAGCTCTACAAGAGTTTCCCAAAGCAGGGCCAAGTTTTCACTGACCAGATGAAGATGCCAAACACTGACTCTTTATACCTAAAATGCCTCTTTTATTTTTTAAATTTAATTTTATTAAGATACATGTGCAGAACGTGCAGGCTTGTTATATAGGTAAACATGTGCCATGGTGGTTTGCTGCACCTATCACCTAGGTATCAAGCCCCAAATGCATCAGCTGTTTATCCTGATGCTCTCTCAATGTTTTTTTTTTTTTTTTAGTTTTGTTTTATTTTAAGTTCTGCCTCCTTCCTTTCAGTGGGAGTGGATTTTGGTCCAAGGTCCTTTAGGTTCACCCTGACAGAGAAGGCCCAGTGTGTATGAAAAAGGGCCAAGGAAAAACGTGCATCACAAATGAAATTCTATGAAGATGAGTTTTCCTTCAAGAATTCTTTTTGACTTCTTTCTTATGATGTTAAAGACTTGTACAGGTGGCTTTTCTTGACCTAGTGGCATATACCCTCTTGAGAGAGTTATTTTTTAGAAGCTCAAGATAGCAGAGTCTATGTTTATTTGTAATCGTGAAATAGATACGATATATGCAAGATGACACCTCTGAGACATGAGAAATGCCGGGGAATTAAGGCCAGCCTATTCTGGCTCCAGGATTCTATGAATCAAAGGCCAAACAGTCCCCTTAATCTTAAAGTCAGCTCTTTCCCCCAGTTAACATGATAAACAACAAGAAATTACAACCAGGTGTTTGTGCTTTACATTTTTGACCTCTGGGTGTTCCAGAGAAATGTTTTCTAAACCCTAGGCACAGAGGGGTGGAATAGAAAGAGTCTGGGTTTTGCAATCAGACCGATGAGCTACGAATTCAGCCTCTATTGGCTATTAATTGTGTGACTACAGGGCCAGTTGCCCTATCTCTCAGAATCTCAGCTACCTTATCAATAACTGTTTTGAGGCTAAAGTGAGACAATGCATGCAAAAGTGCCTAGCACTTTTGTTCAGTAAGTGGAAAGTATAATGGAGTTTTAACTAATCATAAATGCAGGTACTAAAGACTTGATTTGTAATCCTTGGTTAGCAGTTAATTTGATAATTAATAAAAATATGTTAAAATCATTTTTATATGGAGGTTTGTGACTAATTCAAGGGTGTGACCCTTTCTCTGAACAACCCCTCCTAACCTTATTCTACTCTGGCTATTGTTCACCTGTTAACTCATTCATTTATCTATTCAAAACATATTTATGCAGTCTCTACTATAAGTTGTGTGCTTAGGGCACAAAAACAGACATGGCCCTGTTTTTATGATACTTTAGATTCTAGAGAGTTCATAACTGCTGTTCTGAATGACCAGGTTTTTCCGTCTGTTATTTAGAGGTTTTTTTGCCTTGGTTCCCAGGGCTACTGTGTGGTGTCAGATAGTTATTACTTATTCCTTCCACAAAAGAATAACGTGAGACAGAAAGAGATCAATGGACTCGTCCAAAGTTAATAAAAGAATTCTGATTAAGGAGCTTAATTTACTTAGTTGAATTCTTTCTTGGCTATCCAGAGATCATGGACTATAAAATCTGGGATATATTTTTTAAATTGTCTAGTCTAACTCACCCATTTTGTAGAACAGGCAACTGAGGTCCAGAGAAATTATACCTATTCATTTCTTATACATAAACAATTCATCTAATATCCTTTTTATCATATTTTCTTTCTATAATTGGAATACTGAGGTTCAGAAAAATTCTTAGAGTTTTACACTAACTGGGGGAAAGGCAAATTGGAATTAGTGAAAAGTACTACTGTCAACAAATTTTTGAATGCTTTTTAAAAATAGAAGTATGCATGATAAAGAATAATTACTAAGTATTCTAAGTATTTTGTTCACTGCTGAATTCCATGTACCCGATGGAAATCGGGTATACAGTCAATATCTGTTGAATAAATGAAAGAAATATTGACAAGCATATAGCCCCTGGGGACCTATTTCACAAGGCAGAAAAGTTGATGTGGACTAAGCATAACTGTTTCTATAATTTATGAAAAAAAGTTTCTAGGCTTCCAGTACCCCAGAGTTTACAAAACATTTTCAGACTCATTATTCATTTAATTCTTTCAACAGCTGGACTGTTATTCCCATTTCAACAGATGACAAAACTGAGTACAGAGAAAAGCTAAATGGCTCCCCAGTCTAGTAAGGGGAAGAAATAAAATTCTAATCCATTTCTCTGAATCCAAATCCAATGTTATGATCATGTCCAACCAATGGGCACATTTAAAATGCTTATAAAGCATTTATTCTTTTGATTATGTTAGCTACATTTTTAAAGCCTCACTCTTTATGGCTGACATAAAAATTGACTTCATTTCATCCCTGACCAAATTATTTTTAAAGTCTCCAATTGGGAGAGGCTGGATGAATTAGGTTTTACTATCACTTAAGACAGGAGAGGCTGTGGATGCATGAGAATTCTCTCTGCCCACTTCCCCACTTTACCTTGTACCCTAGCTGGGCTGTGGCTCACCTGGTGAAGAAATTCCGGCCATACTTTTGCCAATGATCTTTGAGAATGTCCTCCACACTCTGCTTGCGGGTGGCTAGGATGGAGAGCCAGGCAAGGACAGCCCACAGTCCATCTTTCTCACGGATGTGGTCAGAACCTGGCAAGGGGAGAGCAAGCTGCTGTGAGAAACGTGCTTTCTCCCAGTACCTGAGAAGGTAATTGATATGGTTTGGCTCTGCATCCCCACCCGTATCTCATGTTGAGGGAGGGACTTGGTGGGAAGTGATTGGATCATGGGGGACAAAGCTCCCTCTTGCTGTTCTCATGATAGTAAGTGAATTCTCATGAGATCTGATTGTTTAAAAGTGTATAGCACTTCCCCCTTCACTCTCTCTCTCCTGCAGCCATGTGAAGAAGGTGCCAGCTGCCTCTTCACTGTTCTGCCATGATTATACATTTCCTGAGGCCTCCCAGCCATGGTTCCTGTACAGCCTGCAGAACTGTGAGTCAATTAAACCTCTTTTCTTCATAAATTACCCAGTCTCAGGTAGTTCTTTAGAGCAGTGTGAGAACAGACTAATACAGGACTCAACAGTAGGTGTGCAGACCCCACTAACGGAATCACACAGCCTGACTGAGGACTTGGGTACACAGGAGGAGTCACATATTAAGTAGGCAACATGATACTGAAAAGAAATTGATGCTTCCCAAAGTGATTTAGAAATTTAAGGCAAATGTCAATAAAAATGTCAGTGAGATAATTAGGTAGAATTTGATATATCAGTTATAAAGTATTAATATGAAGGAAAAACACAGTAGATCTTAAATGAACAAACAGCAAAAGAACATGACTATTATAAAATTTCAATAATTCAAATAGTCTGGTAGCTTAACAGAACAAAAGAGCGCATCTGGAAAGAGATCCAAGCACATATGAGGCTTGAGTATATGACAAAGGTCTCACTTGGAGGCTGTGGGAAAACAGTGGATTACTTTTTAAATGGCGTTTGGATAACTGGATAAATAGCTTTAAAAAATTGTTTTCTTGGCCGGGCGCAGTGGCTCACGCCTGTAATCCCAGGACTTTGGGAGGGCGAGGCAGGCGGATCACGAGGTCAGGAGATTGAGGCCATCCTGGCTAAAACTGTGAAACCCCGTCTCTACTAAAAAATACAAAACAAAATTAGCCGGGTGCGGTGGCGGGCGCCTGTAGTCCCAGCTACTCGGGAGGCTGAGGCAGGAGAATGCCGTGAACCCGGGAGGCGGAGCTTGCAGTGAACCGAGATCGCGGCGCTGCACTCCAGCCTGGGCGACAGAGCGAGACTCCGTCTCAAAAAAAAAAAAAATTGTTTTCTTCCCTATAAAACACCATAACAAAAATAATTCCAGTTGAACTAAAAATTTGAATGTGAAACTTGAAAGCTTTTAAATACTAGCATATATTATATTAATATACATGTATTTTTATATATTTATATGTAAATCTTAGGGGTGATAAATAATGTAAATTCAGTATTCATAAAAGAAAACATTGATGTATTTATCCACTTAAAAATTAGCATTTCTATACTGTAAAACTACTATGGACAAAATTAAAAGCCCATTGACAAACTTTAAAAAATTAAAGAGATATGGTTGTTTAAAAGTGGATAGCACTTAAGGTAGATGTTCAATACTATATATATATACTTTCATCTTTTGAGATGGAGTTTCGCTCTTTCGCCCAGGCTGGAGTGAAGTGGCATGATCTTGGCTCACTGCAACCTCCACCCCCTGGGCTCAAGCGATTCTCCTGCCTCAGTCTCCCGAATAGCTGGGATTATAGGTGCCCACCACCACGCTCGGCTAAGTTTTGTATTTTTAGTAGAGACAGGGTTTTGCCATGTTGGCCAGGCTGGTCTTGAACTCCTGACCTCAGGTGATCCATCCGCCTCGGCCTCCCAAAGTGCTAGGATTACAGGTGTGAGCCACTGTGCCTGGCCACATTCGATATATTTTAAGACAGATGTTTAATACATTCAATATAGAAAAAATTCTTATGTATGAATAAGAAAAAATAACTTCAATAGAAAAACAGGTCAAGGATATAAATAGGCGATTTGCCAAACAGCAATCATACACACACACACCCCCCCAACCAATTAGCATAACAAAAAGCTGGTGTTACTTTTAAGAAGAAAAATTAAAGTTAAAACCACAATGAGAAACTGCTACTTGCTTGACAAAAGGTATAAAAATCCACAAGTGTAAAAATCCGAACAGCCAGTGCCAGGAGGATAAACGGGAAACAGGATTCCACCATAGAGCTGGTGGCAGTGGACACTGGCACAATCCTTCTGGACAGCAATTTGGCAAAAAAGTATCAAAGCCTTAAAATGGACCTACTCATGGATCCAGCAATTCCAACTCTAAGACACTGTTCTTTAACCATTAAGGTTTGGTTAAACAAACTCTGATACATTTGTCTCCTGCTAAGGTCCTTGCTAAAATCTTTAACAATATTTTAAAATGGGCTTATCTGGTTGTGCTTATATGCATGGACACCCTTTTCCAAGAGCCTGATATGGAACACAACTCTCATTTTTTTGCCTTTAAACTCCTTACTCTGAAAGAAAGCAGTCTACATGGAGCCTTGTTTTCTGATTTCTAAATAGAACTGTATACAACTGCTCTATAATCATGTTTTAACATTATTTTATGTTGAATTCTTTATGTGCCTGCCCTCCTGCACTTCCCGCTGGGTCTTATTCTTCTTGGAATTGTCAGAGTATCTAGCACCATGCTGGGTATGCAGGAGGCACGTGGTAAATGTTTTTCCTTCCTCTCTTCATCTTTTCAGACCCAGCTCAAATGTCCGCTCTTTTTTAAGACTAGCTCCCAACTTCCCTAGGCAGTCATGAGCTCCCTTCTCTTTCTTCTCCTATAGCAACCTGCACAGAACATCTGGGGTGACATCAGCCTCCTTGAGTCTCAACCATCTGTTTGTGGGCCTTTCTCCCCACTAACTGTGTGCTTCTTAGGGGCACCTCTTATTTATCCTTGTAATTAAGTCTGGTGACTAGCATAGCACAAGGAATACGGTAAATAACTAATTATGAAAGACTGTGTGAATGAATCAACCAATCAATTTATTCCAACACTTTCTCCTTCTATTTTTGGTTCTTAAAAAATATGACTTTTTCTTTCAAAAGACTTTTCTCTTCAATGGGATACTACTTTTAGAAGTTAACTGTCCTCAAAACCTGGATGCTGGCAAAACTAGAGAGAGTAGGCAATATTTTTAGTGCTTTATAGAACATATTTTAAAAATGTTTACCTAATTTTACTATCTTTAGACTTTTATTTGCCTTTACTGCTATTTTAAGGAGCAAAAAGCTCTCTGGCTCTTACGGCTTTTGCAAATGATACGTTTTGGCAACAGTTCATCCTGAGAAGCAAGATTCTGGCAGCTTCCCCAATATACTGGGAATTCATGACAGCAGTATACCAGCTTGGAATTATTTGTCTGTGCTCCACTGGGTTTTTTTCTTCCTTCTTTTATTATTTTTTTCCTCAATTTTTTTCTTTTTTCTCTTTTGGCTAGACTGAAAGTATAGAAGGCAGTGTTCCTTTGTGCTTTTCCTGACCTAAGTAAGGAATTTGATATTTTCTTTTGTGTGGAAATGAAAATAAAATATAAAAGTCTTACCCAACTCTGGCCAAGTTACTTGGAGATAACTAAATCATACACCTAATATTATAAACAAAATACCTGCCCTGGGTAACATAAACAAATATCCGATTCCAATTGTATAATCCTCAGCCTCTTTGGATATTCTGGTTCATCACTAATCACCTTGGATGTATCAAAAACTCCAGGTAATTCTATTAATACTCAGGAAGGTGGAGCAAATTTCATTTTCTTCAGGGTTCTGATGAATGACGCCAAGTTTCCAGTGGAAAATACCAATGGTGCATATACGTGTTTCTAAAGCTATTCTTTTTGCAGTCGTGGCTCAGTAGATAAAGCTTGATACTTAAGAATCAGAAAACGTGAATTTGAGGCTCTGTTACTTGTAAGCTACTTGAATTTGGACTAATCACTTACATTTTCTAAGCCTCAGTTTCTTCAACTGCAAAACAGAAATAATGCTAACTTCTCTCTAGTAACTGTGAGAAATTACTATGAAAAAGCAAGTAGAAATATTTTATAAACTGTGAGGTGTGATATAACTACTAGATACTGTTTTGAATAAAGGGAAAAATAAAAGGCTTTTATGGAAAATTATTACATTTTCCACTGACTTTATTATGCTTTTAAAAATAATGCTCCTTGATTATACATATTGGAGAAGAAAATGGAAGAATATAACCTAATATGCTCTTTCCTCCGGGCACTGGGATTACAGTGTTTTTTCCCTCCTTCCTTATTTTTTCATAATGAACATAAATTACTTGTTTCATTATGTTTTAATTTTTAGAAAGAAAACGAAGCCGAGCTCATTTAACTGTGAGAAAGGGAAAACACTGTAGGCAAGGACTGCTAGTCCCAGCTGGCACAAAAGACAGTGGTGGGTTTTGCACTGGATCTCTTCACCCTTGCTCTGCTCAGGGACAGGAATTCTACCCTTTCAGCATCTTCAAACACCTGTCACTTTACTTCGGCCTAATCAGCACCTTGTGATAAGCACAAATTCGACTCAGTCAGGGCACATTCTGGGTCTCAGCCAAGAAAAATGTCAACCATTCCTGAGGGAGCCAAGAGCTAACAGTTTAGGGATTGGGTTACGGTTACCACTATGGGCATCTCAGGAGCTGTCCAGCCCCTGCCAGGTGACAGGCCTGAGGATGGGGGCATGACAGCTGAAAAACAGCTGCATGGAGTTCTCTGAAAGTACCAGTGTCTGTCTGTCTCTTTCTTTTTCTGTCAGTTTCTCTCTCTCCTCCAGCCCCTTGAACATACAGTTCTCATTGCCTAGAAAGTCCATCCCAGATACACCTACCAGCCTGGCTAACATGTTCTGCAATTACTTTCAACTTCAGTCTTATCCCGGATGCACTCCCCATGCCCTCTGTGCTTATACCATTCCCTGTGATCACGCCCCACCCTAGACTATGAGTTGTACTTCCCCAACAGGGGTTGGCCCAAAGTCAGTTGTTAAGACAGTCTGCCCAAAGAATGGCCGGGACCCAGTTGACTGACTGGGAGGTTCAGCTGACCTGCTGTGTCTACAGTCCTGTCCTCTTGGCCTTCCACTGCACAAACGACTTCACTTGGAAAGAGAGCCTTTTCCATACCACTCCAGCTCCCAGGAGGCTGTCCCCAGGAAATGTCAGGCCTTCCACTTAGCAATGAGGCCTGATCTGCCTCATTACTCCCCCTGGAACTTGGTTTCCTTTCCATAAGGTGCCTTTGGAAAAAGGTAGTAAGTGTCTGATAAGCAGAAACTGTGTCCTAACACAAACTTCACTTTACACTCAACAAATGTGAATCAGTGCCAGCATGTACCAAGCACATAAGAAGATACCAAGATGCATAAGGTGTGTCTCCTGCCCTCACAGATGAGCACAGACATACAGGTGAGGGAGACAGGCAGATAACAGTTTAATTGAGTCAGTTATATTTAGTGTATAAGCCTAGTTCTACTGGGGTATTCTGTCTAGGCTATGCCCAGACATGGGGTGCTACAATCTTCCCCTGTGGGCTTTGCCTGCAGGGAAATGTACTCAGTAGCTATGCAAGTTAGAATGGGCAGAAAAACCAGAAAGAAAATCTGATCTCCTACACCACAGAACCAAGTTAGGCACCCTGAGAATAAAGCTACTGAAGTACCCCTGTACTTCACCTTCTGTTGCTTTGCACACTTGTCATTCACGGAGCCCTCTATGAGAAGGCCTTGTTCACCATGTGACCCAGAGTCTAACTCAGTATCCAGGATAAAGTCAAAGTTCAATAAATATTTGAGGAATGAATCAATGCAAAATGTACAAACATGAAGGACTTTTCATAAGAAACTAAAATTAAAAGAAATTTGCAAAGCGTTAATGCCACATTTCTTCAAGTTATCACTCCTGTATGATGCATTAGCACTAGAACCTTTAAAGATAGGGCAGGGAATATTGCTAACCTCTAGACCTGACCGGATCATAACTTACATATCTCCAGTGATACCAAGTTCATCATCAACCTGGTTTCCCATCGATCTTTCCCAAGCCCCCTATTTTCCTGAAGAAGGGTTCAAATGCATCGTATTCTATACTATTCAGTGACTTCACTTTCAATGTCCCAACAATTCTAAGATAGGATGGAACTGACAGTCTGCCCTCTGCCATTGTGTATAAACATGTACATAATCATCCACGGTTAGGAAGGAAAAACAGCTTTGTACCATGAGATCAACTAACAACAACAGGCTCATCCTGTCTAGTTGTCCCTATTTATCCCTGGTGTTTGTAATGCTGATCTCTGAAGAAGTATCCTAGCTTCTGTGGTTACCATATCCAGATGAGAAAGCTGCTGCTCCTCCAGCACAAACAGACTAATGTATACTTGGTAATGTTAGTAATATTGCAAGATTGTTCTTCAGACACTAGTGGTTTGTTTTACTCGGTGGGCCAGTCCTGAAGTTAGACTCCTTTGCACCTCTTTGCAAGCAAACTTCTTTTCTTTTGCAAAAGTGCATTTCTCCCACAAAGACGTGGAATTCCCAACCCTGGACCGTGGGGTAGAAGTGGTGTTGAGTCATTTCAAGAGTCCCAGACTACGCCAAGAGGTGAGGTGTGGATTCTCCACTGAGGTGGGTGGTTAAGCTGGAAAGCACTGACCAGTCACTATGATTCCAGCATCATACAGGAATTTACATCAGATACCTTTTAAAGTTCTTTCTTTTCCAACAGCAGGAATCTGTTTGTCTAAATAGAAAGTGCCAAGTGAATAGTGTTCATGAACTCATTCAACAAGAGTTTATTGAGCACCTGTTCTATGTTGGGCTCTACGGGAGGCTCAAGGGATACAATGCAGGATAAGACACATAAGATCTCTGTCCTCATGGCACATACAGTCTAGTGGAGCCAACAGACACTAATCAAATAATCGTAAGTAATTGTAAAATCACAGCTGCAACAAATACAACAAAGAAGAGGTACACGGTGCCACAAGAGTCAATAATCAGGGGATTTGGCCCACCCTGAAAGGTCAAGGAAGCATTTTTGAGAAATTTCCTCTGCTATTGCCTGGAAAAATACAGAAATAAAGCACTCTGTGCTCAATTAAGCTATAGATTTCAAATGTTTCAAAGTTCATAGAGTCACTAATGTCTACCCTGAGAAACTATGAAAGAACTGTTGGAAACATTCACTAGCAAGGGACACAGTAGCTAAAAATTAACTCCTCTATAAATAAGAAGATCAGGAGTTCAGTTAAGTAAGCCCAGCTGCACTCGGTCACAACAGTGGAGATCCATGGCTATGCAGCCTGGCTGTTTAAATGTTTATCTCAGAAATATTACACAACAATTTTCTTTTTTTGAAGAGAGAGAGAGAGAAAAAGAGCTTGTGATTATCCTCATGATAATGAAGTGCATTCTCTCTTTGGATATGAAATATACCAAGGAGAAGCTAAAACCATGATTGGTACTAGGCATTTGTTGAATGTGTTAATAAATGAGAATAAACTTTAACAATAGTCTAAAGTCTAATACTTTGGTTCAAAGAAATCAATTCCACAAACATAACATGAGAGACTTCCCTTGGCAAATAGTTCTAGGTAAAAACTTTAAGGGTTTAATTACCCACAACCTTATACGGGCTAAACAGTATTATGCAACTTCCTAAAAACTAACCTAAAGGAAAGTTATGTCAAGAAAAATACAGTGCCCCAATCACTAGAAATAATCGTCCCACCCTACTCTTCACTTGCCAGGCCAGCCCTGGAAGATTTGGGCTCAGTTCTGGGCATCACCTTCCAAGAGTGGCACTGGTAAACTCAGAAGCACCTAGAGGCTGGCGCTGAGTCTATAAACAATGTGAAACGAGGAATGACTGGAGGAAACAAAGATGGACAGCCTGAGGAAGGAACGAACTGAGAGCTGCTTCTTGTATTTGAAGACCTGTCATGTAAGAGGAGCAGCTTGTGCCATCCTGTCTTTAGGCCTATTCCCTGCCGGTCAGCACCAGGGATTCCTACTTATCTCTGGGGCTCTGATCCCTCTTGCCCAAGGCTTCCCACATGAGTCTGTGGAAAAAAAAGTTACTGTACATACTACGAAATGATGGTAATAATAATTATCATATTGCGGTGATGATATTGTATAATATCATCATAATTATTACATACAGTGGTAAACTATGTTTAGGCAAAACTGTACTAACAGGATTCTTTATAGCAGAATGTTCTGGAATCTTCAAATGCTAATATCATTGTGAATATCCAAGATAGAGAAGTGTCGTCCAATTTTCCCACTTTTTCTTGACCCCTAGAACCCTCTCATGGAACTAATATTCTTCCACATACCCACATGCTCTGGGAAACCTGACTCTAGACTTTTATCTTTTCACTAGGCTCCACACTGATACAAGTACATGGGAACAGGAAACCAAAGGTTTTGACACAGTTGCTGCCTTCAAAGACATCTTCATTCATAAAGAATGACTGATGCCAGGCCTGAACTAGATGACACTGTGGGGAGTTTCATGGGAGAAGACCACCTCATAGGCTCATTGGGCATTCATGTAGTATCCCTCAGAATAGCATGGCACCGTGCACATTATATGAAGTAGAAAAAGACTAAGCAGTGGCCTTGTAATCTCTGATTTAAGCACCTACAACTTTGGGAAACTGTCTAGCCTTTGTTGTGGAAGTTGTTCAACCCCAAGACTCATCCAGCCTACTTCATACCTTCCAATTCTGTCAAGGCAGTTCATTGCCAAGGAATATTACCACTCTCAAAAATACCAAGTTGCTTAGAACTCTGTAAGTATGTACCTCCAATTTAGCAGCTCATTCTACCCGCTCTACCTCCAGACTTATAGGAAAGGAAAGGAAATCAGTACTCTGTTCTGTTTAACCTGGCATGAACTGCAACTCAGTTGCAAAGCTGAGAGAATGCTTGGTTTTGATCTTCTTTTCTTCACTAAAGCGTGACAATAGAGCACCATAGGATCAAGGTCAGTGCATTTACTTAAAAATATCGGGTAGAGGGAATAAAAGGAGAAGAGATGTAGTCACTTAACTGCCTTATAACCTGGCTGGAGACTGATACATGGGACAGGGCCACACACCTGAACAGATGTTTAGAAAAAAGAGACTGATGCAGGCAGCATGAGGTAGCAGAGAAGGTCATGAAAGAGGTGGGAGTTCGGGTCAATATTTGGACAAGCAGAAAGGAGGAAGGAGAGCGCACAGAGTGGGGTCTATGGGTCTTGGGTCATCCCCCGAGAATACTATGTACTCTTCTTTCACTTGAATATTAATACAATTACACATACACCCTCAGGCACAAGGATGTATTTTTAATTTCTTGATCACCTAGCAACTTAGTTCCACCCTCATGGTCTTCCTTCACTTAGCCTTGATTATTCTGCTATAGAAAACTTGGGCCTATAAAAGAGAAAGATTTAATGCTGTGCTGAAACCTCTTCTTAAATAAAAACAAAAAACTGGCTTGCTCCACCATATTTCTTCTCAGAAATGAAAACATCTATGAAGGTTTCTTTGACCACTGAAGGAAGAAAAATCTGTTTATCACTCTGTTTAATCCCTACAGACTCAATGACCACGCTGCCGAGGAGGCCCCCCAGCTTCCTGTCTGAGTCCATGTGATCCTCTGAAAGTAAAATCAGCCTTTTTGGCTGAATGTGCTCACCCCTTTTCAAATGTGTACACTTCACCAGGGTTGTTATAAATAATTTGTACCTTGATTTAGGACACATCAACTACTGTTGCTATTTCAGTGCTACCTTAGCAGTCTAAGCTTTTACTGGAAATAGTGGTTACAGGGAGGAAAATGCTAGCACAGGAGTGTGACTTACCAGTCCCGAAGCTCTCCTCCCCACAAAGGGACAGTTTGCTCGCATCCATCAAATTCCCAAAAAACTTCCAGCCAGTTGGGGTCTCATACAAAGCGATCTTTGTAGCATTAGCCACCCTTCAAAGGCATGAAATCAAAGTTACATCACAGCAGGACTGTCAGCGTAGCCATGTGAGGGACGGAAAAGGGCAACAGTTATTGTAATCAAGGGTCCCATTTAGCATTGCACAGAGTCACACATAAATCTAAGATTGGTGGAAAATCATAAGAGAAACCTTGTGCACAATGGGCTATTATATGTGGATTCAGAGAAGGTGGAAGAAGAAAGAATTAATTCAGATCACGGAGTTTAATATTTTAGAAGAAGCATCCATAGTAAAATGTTCAGGGTTGCTGTTTAGGCTGTTTAAACCCACATTTTGGATACAGACTGCATCTATACAATCTATGAAGAAGGGAATAATGGTGTTTTGATATACCCATAATCACAGAATCATGACATACTGGGTCTGGGCAGTTAGCATTTTACAGAGAAGGAAACAGGGCCCAGAATATTATGTGATCAGACCAAGGTCACAAAGCCAGGATGACCGACCGCCCAGTATTCAGCTGCCTGGTGAGTGCTGCTTTTGTCTCATAAGAAGTCGCCCCAGGGGAAACGCCCAATGGGGTCTCCCCTATGTACTGGCTTCACCCACACTGATTAGTGGTTCCCCTTCCCTTCTAACATGTGTTTTATTTCTCTCTAGGTATCTTTAGACTACTTAAAACCTTTGAGTGACTTAGAAAAAAAAATTCCTTTCCCTTTGAACATGAAAAGTTACCTGATAAGTTCCATTCACTGTTTGAGTGAGTTTTGCTTCCCAGAACGTTTGCCTTATTTCCAGGAAAGCAATGTCAGCTTTGTGTTCTGATATTTGAGGAAAAAATCAAATCTATGATTTTGAAAACTATGAAAGTACAAAAAACTTTTATCTGGGTAATGAGGTACTTCAGTTATGATTCTATACGTGGATTATCAATTTTTCCAAAAATTGGAATTACACTGTTTTTGGATGACACAGAAGGTATTCCAGGACCTGACAGGCCTAATGTATGACAGTGTGACCTCAAACCAGCTCATAATTTCAAATGCAGGACCTGGTGGTAGACACGCTGGGCTCAAATGCTAGTTCTAATTTGGTGGTGAGGTCTTGGACAAGACTATTAGCTTCCCTGACTTTCCATTTCCTCTTCCTTAAAATGAGGTCTGCTGTGAGGATCAATTGAGATGGTGAATGTAAAAAACACTGTACAAACTACAAACCACTATATGGATATTAGTGGCTATTTTCTTGTTAGCCGAAGCAAAGTCAGCACCAATTCTATAACCATCTCTCCTCTACAGAAAAAAACTGCATGGCCCAGTGGGTGGGAGCAAAGGCTCTGGGTTCAAATCCCAAGTCAGCCATTTACCAGCTGGGTGACCTCAGGTAAGTTACTTCTTTGTCCTTTGGTGTTTCCACCAGAAAAATGGTGTTAAATATAGGATTTATCTCATGGGGTTCATCTAAGAATTAATGAATTAAAACATGCAAAATATTTAGTGTCTACAACAAGGTAATGTTCAATAAATATTAGCTATTACTATAAGAGCCTAGATATATATCACAGCCTACTTTCCTCTCTGGCCTTGACCTTTTACTCATTCATTCATTCTTTACCTTTTATTCATCAAACATTTCCTGCACACCTGACATATTCTAACTAATATTTTCCCTGGTCCTCATCTGTTATGACTTTTATTTTTCAATTTTTTAAGTATGATCTAACAAGCCACCTCAAAGCTTTTGTACAATGAAGTGATATATAAACATTCACTGTGTTTGTGTGGGCATGAGCGATCCAGTTCTGTTGAAACTCTAAAAATACTTCAAACTGCTCTTTCACCCACACTCTGTACACACTGCAAAAGGAAAGTGATCCTCCAAAATGATGTTTTGAGTATTTCCATTGTTATTCATTAACACTCAACTATTCATTCACTTTAAAAAAGTATATGCGTGTGTGTGTTTGTCCTACCATGTGCCAGGCACACTATGGTCAGGCAGAGTCCAGGATGGTGAACAAGGCAGTCCTTTCTCTGCAGAAGTATACAGTCTAGCAGGGCAGGCCAAAGAGAAAACAGGCTACTAGAACACAGTGTGGTAAGTGCCAGGAGGAGGAGGCCCAGGGTGCCAAGGGAGTGCGGAGAGGGGCATCGAATCCAGAAAAAGCCACCCATCCCCTCACACAGGAATCGCTCAGCACACTCTATGCATCAGATGCCGATGCTGAAAGGGAAGGACACGTGTTCCAGGCACAGTGAAGGGTGCAGTGAAGACTGGGACGACCCGAGACAGGAAGGTCAAGGGAATGGAGAGACCTACCGGTCCAGGGCACCACTCGTGGGCATGCTCCGTGCAAAGCCACGGACCCCGGTCTGCTGGAAATACGGAATGCTGAAGATGTTGGCAGCAATGACAGCCACAGAGTCTGAAGGGTTCACAAAGAACCCATGCTTGCCCAGAATCATGTTTCGATCCTTGGGGAGAAGAGAGGATCAAAGAAAGACCTTTTAATCAAACTAGAAGAAATCAAACTATCTTTCATGGGGGTTTTATAAAATTTAAAACCATAAAATTTGAAATTGATCTCTTTTCCATACTGCATTTTTAACACTGGGTTTTATTTTCAATGGGTTTATACAGTACCGTTGGGCCAAAGGCACCTCCATGCCAAAGAGTTAAAACTGTTTTCAATTAAAGTCCAAGCACAACCTCCTTTTGAGCTGAGTCCTCTGTTCTCCCTCCAGAGGCCAGCTCACTTTAACCTCCTAGACTTTTTCCAGACTCTGGAACCAATCATCTTTTTCCCAGGGGAGGAGAAAACGCAATGAGAGAAGAAATATTGGCTGTTTACATAGTTTGGTAGGTCTACTGGGTAAACTGTGTACCACAGTCTGTGTACCACAGTAACTGGGAGGGTGGCCAAAAAACACTCCCAGCATGCACTGCATCACAAAGATGTACTACAAAATAATGTCTGCTGGAACCCCTTTAATTTCCCAACATTTTGATAAGGGAAAAATTATTTTTCAGGAAACAGTGGATTCTAGCTAATGGTAAAGAACACTAGTAACAACAAAAATATATTTTCAACTAAGTAAATGTGTACAGTGTCTACCATCAGTGAGATATAGGGATATAAACCTAAGACACATCTCTTCCTTGTCCGGTACATAGTCACCCTTGTAAATCAAACAGCTTATTTCTAAACATTTTAATTGTAGAGAATGATTAAAATGTTAATTCTCTCAATATCATCTTCATATAGGCCATGAAATTGCAGCTTCAATATTCAGCTCGTGTGAATGAATGAATGGGTGTATTATAAGACCAAAACCTTGTCCAGAGATTAAGTAAGTAGCCAGCTGCTGGTTGAGAGCAGAAACCTACCTTAAGACAGGCATCTAGAACTCACCCAGTTCATGAAATACCAGTCATTCTATCATAACCAGAACCTAATCATCGTGCCACTGTTAGCAACTATGGATGTCTGAAATTAAACGTGTGGGTTTCATTTCAATGACTCCTATTCCTGTTCAAGAGGGTCTTCTAATAATTTAGCTCTGACCTCAGGTCAGAATGAGGGATCCTTAACAGTCACTCCCAGGGTCTGGCAGAAGCAGCCCACCTTTTTCCCCATCTGCAGGATCAGGCCTGGCCTGCACGAGAGTTCACTTAAATGCACTTATACCCACCCCATCTCCATCAAAGGCAGCCCCAAAATCATGCTCTCCTGACTTCATGGTCTCCACCAGGTCAGCTGCATAGGTGAGGTTGGGGTCAGGGTGGTGGCCTCCAAAGTCCTCCAGAGGAACGCAGTTAACTGCTGAGTTTGCAGGGGCACCGAGTTCTTCACAGAGGATCTTCTTTACATACGGTCCCACAACTATATACAATGTGGAATAAAAGTATGTAGAATCAGAAAATAAAAGTCCTGAAAGGATGTGAGGATTCAGGGCTGAGGTGGATGCATTCTGGGGAGAAGAATGGCATGAGAAACAAAAAGAACATGTGAAATGTGTTCAGGGACTAGTGGAGAGATACACCTGACTGGAGAAGAATGTTCTCGAAAATGGAACAAGGAGAGATTATGTTGGAAAAGGTGGGGCCAGTTCATGAAGGGCAGAGTGGGGAAAAGAAAGGAAACCAACCATTATGAAGGCCCTACTGTACACCTGTGCTTTCTCATTCAGTCCTTCAGAAAAGCTCAGAAGGTGGTAGAGCTTGGAGCTTAAGAGCCTGGACTCTGAAATCAGAGTGTCTGGGTTCAAATCCCAGCTCTGCTGATCATGGGCTGTATAATTTTGGGAAAGTTATTTAAACTCTCTGTGCCTCAGTCTCTTCCATTTGCAAAATGAGGGTCATAATGCTAACTACCTAACAGGACTGATGTAAGGATTACATGAGTTAAGAGTTATGAAGCACTGAGAATAGTCCCTGGCAGTTATGTTACAAAGTTTACATTATGATTATCACCTGCAGTTTACAGATACATTGGAATGCTGGTGTTCTGAGGTAAAGACATTTGCCCAAACTTACATGGCTAGAAAAAGTGGGAACTGGGATTCAGAGCTGTTATCTTTCTACTATGACAAGCTAGCTGACAAACTGATTAAAAAACCACAAACAGGCTGGGTACGGTGGCTCACACCTGTAATCTCAGTACTTTGGGAGCCTGAGGCAGGCAGATCACATGAGGTCAGGAGTTTGAGACCAGCCTGGCCAAGATGGTGAGACCCTGTCTCTACTAAAAAAAAAAAAAAAATATATATATATATATATATATATATATATGTATGTGTGTATACACACACACACACACACACACACACACACACAGATTAGCCAGGTGTGGTGGCAGGCACCTATAATCCAGCTACTCAGGAGTCTGAGACAGGAGAATTGCTTGAACTTGGGAGAAGGAGGTTATAGTAAGCCGAGATTGCATCACTGCACTCCAGCCTGGGCAACAGGGCAAGACTCTGTCTCAAAAAAAAAAAAAAATGAAAAACCCACCACCACCAACAAACAACAGGAGAAGCCAGGTACATATGTTTACAGTGACATTTTACATAACCACCAAGAACACACATCTCTGAAATGCTAAGAGAGCATTTTCATCAAGGATGATACTAATCCCAATATAGTACATGCCCCAGAGGTCAGAATACTGTGGAATAAGTGTGTACTATGAGGGGTCACCTGTTAAGCAGGTTACTGACACACCATAGAATGAGGTCAAGGCAGCCAGGGCTGTGAGCGATACAGAAACAAAAGTGTTAGAACAGCCAAAAGACCTGGTGAAAAGTAGTCTTATCTCCTGACAAGCTCCTCTTACCCAATGCCCTCCTCACATGCCCATTCTCTGGCCAGCTCAGGCCTCTCCTCATTTCCCTAATGTGACATCCATTTTTAAGCCTTCATGCCTTCGTCACAGCCACCGACCACATGAGAATGACCATTGCTTGATTTTTCATCACTCTAGATCTTTCTTTCGTAAGAACTGAGTTGGCTGCCACTTCTTCCAGGAAACCTTTCTTTATACCCCTAGTCAAATTATGCCTTCTTCCAACTCCAAAGAGAATACCTGAAATTCCAACTCTCATTTTGTTGGCCTGGCAGGAGTTAGTTTTTTAGAGTTTTTGTTTTGTTGTTGTTGTTTTGAGACGGAGTCTCGCTCTGTTGCCCAGGCTGGGGGGTGGTGGCGTGATCTCAGCTCACTGCAACTTCCGCCTCCCAGCTTCAAGCTAGTCTTCTGCCTCAGCCTCCTGAGTAGCTGGGATTACAGGCATGTGCCACCACACCCGGCTAATTTTTGCATTTTTATAGAGGGGTTTCACCATGTTGGTTAGGCTGGTCTCGAACTCCCAACCCCGTGATCCGCCTGCCTCGGCCTCTCAAAGTGTTGGGATTACAGGCATGAGCCACCGTACCCAACCCAGGGGTTAGTTTTTTACCCACCTCATCTCCCCAAACATTGCACATTCTTTGAAGAAAGTGATCTGCCCAGTTCCTGCCTATTCCCCAGGCATGCATGTTGCAGGTCTGCAATACACATCTGTTGAATGGTTTAAAATGACAGAATCGCTTTTGTCTGAGTAAAGAAGTAGATCCATTCTATGGGAGTCCAGAGGCCAACTAGGACCCAAGGGGAGAAGTTCCAAGGATGGAAGATTTTAGCTCACCAGGAGAAGACTTTCTAACTGTGGTTTGCAGTGTCACAGGAATCCCTGAATTGCATCACTAAAAGGGTTCAATCTCAGGCAGAAAGGCTTCTCCAAGCAGGCAGATGTATGTGTATAAGTTTCAGGGATTCTCATATACCTACATGTCTGAGAAAACCTCGTGGTTCTGGTTCACAGTGATAGCTGCCCTCTCTATGGACCTGACCACACAACCCCCGGAGGAAGAAGACAGAGCTGTACACATCCTGATGTTCCTGAATTTAATCCTCAGCTTGCTCTTGCCCTCTTCTAAGAAAAGGAGCATGTGGGGGCAGGTGAGTGGGGATGTGGGGCTCAGGAGTATGTTTACCACATCTCCCAAATGACCGTCCTCTCAGAAATACATGGGGGCGTGCAGCAAGAATGTAAGGTATCTTCTGAGGGGGAGGGAGAGTCCACAACAGCAGTTGCATGTTACTCAGAACCTGATGCTTAATGTGGAAACGCTGACCTTCACACAAGCTTACCACGAGGAGTGTCTCTACTATTTTTGCTACATACAATTAGATTTTGATCTGTGTGGATATTGCTCTGGTTGCAAAATAACTCTATTTAAAAACCATCAGAGAGACTTGAGAAAAGGCTTGTGAAAGCATCATGATACACACAGAAGAGAGCGACTTCCTATCCTTGAGAGATGGGAATTGAAAAGAAATGACTGTATACCTCCATGCATAGCATCAATACGGATCTTCAGTCGGTTTGGCCCAGAAAGTAGTTCTTTCAGTGCACTGAAATCAAAGATGTTTCTCAGCATTGTAGCATATGCTTCCACCGAATCCACAATTTCCACTGTGAGAACAAGCAACATTAAAAGATGGAAGGACTAACCACATTTAGAAAGATTATATTCTGATGTGATTATATGGCTGTAAACCTGCTATTGCTATTTTAAAGGGACAATTATTGAACAGCTCAAATAATATGACTGTTAAATACTATCCAATACTACCAATAGTTATCCAACACTAACAATTTTCCTGAGAGGTAAATGTTATTAGTCCTATTTGATAGATGAGGAAACTCAATGTGTGAAGCGTTAAGAAACTTGCCCACACAGCTTGGATGAGGCACACAGGGGATTTTCAACAGAGGTTGTATAAATTCTGCTAGGCCACCACAGTGCTTCCCCATTCATCATTTTGAGAGGTGTGTTTTGGTGTTACAGAGAGCAGAAAATATAATGCCTACTTTTAGTTCCTTTTCTTTTTCCAAGTCCATTGTCATCAAGACTTAATGGTACTAAGTGGAAAAAGAAATTTTTTAATGAATCACTATTCACATGTACTGCTTAAGGAATAAAGCAAATATAAGAACTTAGTATTGTTGTTCTCGTTGAATATTCAGGGCTTCTGAACATTTTCAAAACTGTTGGATATTCAGGGGTTCTGAACATTTTCAAAATATGAAGATTTTAAGAAACTCTCTAGTGGTATCTTCTGAACCTCAAGAATGTCTTCGAGATGCATCAAAGTGGCACTTTATCTTTGTTAGTATGCAATTGTCAGCTTTCCATGAGTAGGTTGAAACAAAAAATGCAATCCATCCTTTGGCCAGGAACTAACTGACTAATAAAATGCATTCCATAAAGTTGCAATTCAGAAGAAAGAATACACGTTAGGGCAAAGTCAAAATGCAAGTCCATTGCCAATCGTCTCATCCTCATTTTATTAATCTGAATACTTTTATAAATGTTTATTCTGTCAATTATTATAATACCTGGCATTCAACAACAAAATGTTAGCCACAGCTGCCTATGTAGAGAGTTGCAATTTGGTCCCCCCAAAATGGTCTGATTGATTTTACTGAATGAGGACAACTAAAATGGAAAATGTAGGCTTGCGAATCATTCAAACCTGAGTTGAAGTCCTGGTTTTGCCATTCATTGACCATGACCTTGAGCCTGTTACTTAACCTCTCTCAGCCTTTGTTTCCTCATCTGTAATAATGAATGCTGACAGTGCTGCCCTGACAGATCTACTGTGAGAATAAAATGGATTAATGTCTGTAAAGACCCTGGTATGTAGCAAGAAGTCAATGAAAAGTCAACTATGAATGTAATCTTACAGGTCTTCTAGTCAAGGCATGAAAACTAATGCCTAGAGTGTTGGAAATGACTTACCCGATGTCATGCAGCTGATCCCTGGCAGGGCCCAGGGAGCCCAGGTCTCTGGACTCCCAAACCTAATTCCAGACTCGTTAATTAACTAACACTTGCAAAGCTCACAGACCACTCAAGGAAGTCTTTCCAAAGCTGAAGACCCTGTACTAAAACGTTGAAAGAAAAATCGCTCAACGTGGAAATAGGAGTGGGCAGAAAGAGGAGGAAAGTAAACATGCCTGTGAAGGGTTTGAACTTATTTTCCAAGTCAAACTGCTGCTTTCCGAGAACACCAAGGTCTACTTTCAGGTCAGGGCAAATTGCATATTCTTCAATTGTCTTGCTGATTTGGAAAATTTTATCAGTTATTGCTTCTGGAGCAGGACCTGGAAATCAAACCGCAAACAGTGGGTCACTTCATGCAGCTCACATGGAAATACAAAGAATCCAAAGCTCATCAGTTCCTCTTCACTAGCACCTCTACCATTTCATCATTCAGCCAGCAAGGTGGCAGGATTTTTCTAAAAGAAAATATCATGTTAGGGATGAGTTGTACATGGCTCTTCATATTCAGGTACAGTCAAATGAGAAGCATTTCACTGTCACTGAAATGAAGCAAAGAGCACCCCCCTGCCCCCTTCAAAGGATCAGAACCAAAACCCTGGTCTCCCCAGGCTCCAGCTATTGGTTTATCCTACTGAAGATAAACTTACCTGTCCTCAAAATGACAGCAAACTCACCTCCATTAGAAATATTGAATTTGATTCCAAAATCTCCATTGGGGCCCCCTGGGTTGTGGCTGGCTGTCAGAATGATCCCACCAATGGCTTTGATTTTTCTAATGATGCAGGATACAGCAGGGGTGGAGAGGATTCCATTCTGTCCAATAACCAAGCGACCAATCTAGGAGAAGAAATCCAGAACACACTCTTTAACATCAATACATCCAGAGTCACTGCTCAGAAACAACACCAAGATAACAGGCAGATGGACAAAATAATAATAATAATAATAATAATAATAATAATAATAATCTGTTAGACAAGAAAAGATTTTATTTAATAAAAATCTACAGCTTGGATGTCTCCACCATATTACTGAAGCAGAATCAGCAATGTTGAACAAATTCCTTCAGATGGTTTTTGGGACTTTGTAGTTTTAGAAGAGTGTGTGGTCTGTGTGCACTAGAAGGCTCTGGCATGAAAACACAGCATATTAAAAAGAGCCTTTCCAGATCAGGTTCACAATGTGGATACATTGAAAGAATATGAGAAAACCCCAATTTTTATCCAATTCAATCATACTTTCAATCCACAACGGGAGAAAAGAAAAGGTTTAGCTAGTTAAAGGGATTCTGCCCAAAGACAAGGCTTTTTTAAAGTAAAAATCTTTTTGAAGTAAAAAAGGCAAATTTTATGGCAAGATTATTGAAAAATGACTCATCAATTTATCTTTCCAGTCAAGCTTGGCTTTTTCATATAGTGGGTTTCCTCAAAGCAAGACACACATACTCCTGTTACAGTGTACCTGGGTTACCTCCTGGGCCTAAGACAAGAATGCTGGAGTTATTCCTGAGTAAACCAGTCAGAACGACCTACATGAAAGGGCGACAGGTGGGACTTCTGTTGCGTTCTTAACTTACCTTCCCATAGCTCTTACTGATGGTGAAGTACCGCTCCTAAATCTTTTTTGCTAAAATGACAGTAATTTATATCTGTTTCAACATGACTAAAGTTGGAAAAGAAGGTTGAGGTGTTGTCAGTTCCTCTTAAAAAACAGGGATTTTTTTACATTTTCCGTTTGTTATTTCTTTTTGCTTCACCCAAGATAAATATGATTGAAGAAACAACTTGATGGTGGAAGATGTGTTTCTAATGTTGAGAATGTCCATGAGATACCTGGATTTCCTGGGGAGAGTTTCTCTGGGACTGTTGGCTCTGCCACCCTTCCATAGCTCATTGAAAACTGTCAACAACCACCTCCCAGGAAGCAGCTGGTTCACTTCCAACCAGCCACCTCCCAACCACCTCCCAGGAAGCAGCTGGTTCACTTCAGTTACCTCTTGGCTCTCATATGTTGATCTCTGAACAATTTTTGGTATAGCTCCCCTAATATATTGGTTATATCCTGCCTTCCCCAGGAAATGGTAATCACCAGGGTGGATGCTGTCATTAGGTTGCTTTTTAGACTGTAGGAACCCGCAGATAGTGTGGAATCAATACTGATGATTGTTATGGAGCTACAGAGTGCTTTCTACATCCCATGGCACTTTTGATCTGTTCCCACACTTGCTCACATTTGTCACAAAAGACAAATGCTATATGATTCCACTTACATGAGGTATTTAAAGAAGTCAACACCATAGAAACACAAAGTACAATGGTGGTTGCCAGCGGCTCAGAAGAGGGAAGGATGGGGAATTGTTCAATGAACATAGACTTTCAGTTTGGCAAGATGAAAAATTTCTAGAGATATGTTGAACAACAATGTTTCGTTAACATTACTGAAGCATACACCTAAAAATGGTTAAGATGGTAAATTTTATTATGTGTTTTTACCACAATTAAAACTTTTTAAAGAATTTGTCACTGTACTCTAAGATGACATTGCAATCTATAGGTATGGATGTGACTGGAAGGACATATATAGGATAATTTTTTTTCTTTTCTTTTTTTTTCTCATGTGACTGCCAGATCATAAGGATAAATATTTTTTAACTCAAAAAAAAAAAAGGGAATAAAATTCTGACACATTCTACAGCCTGGACAAGGCTTGAAAACATTATGCTAAGTGAAATAAGCCAGATGCAAAAGGACAAGGATTGTCTGATTCTGCTTCTATGAGGGAAGTAGAATAGGCAAATTCATCGAGACAGAAAGTAGTACAGAGGTTACCAGAGGCTGGCGGGAGTGGGAATGGGAAATGATTGTGTAACAGGTACAGAGTTTCTGTATGGGATGATTTTTTTAAAAAGGTTCTGGAGATGGATAGTGGTGATGGTTGTACAACATTGTGAATGTAATTAATGCCACTGAACCATACACTGAAAATGGTTAAAATGGTAAATCTGATGTTATGTATATTTTACCTTTCCTGGCCCCCAAGGTAGAGATAACTCCCTCAGCCAGGCACTAAGAGTCCATTCTCAAATGGCCTCCCCTGCCTGCCTTCCTTTCCCACGACTTCCTTCCTTAAAACTCATGCCTCCCCGCCAAAACGGGTACTTCGTTGTTCCCCAAACATCTAATAGTCAAACACGGCAAGGAGTAAACTTTAAATATTCCTTTTAACTGAAAACAGGGCTTGGTATTTTCTTAGGTTTCATTAAAAACCAAGTTCCATTTTCTTTGTCCTGTAATCATGCACATGGGTCCTGCTCTTACCTCTAAACTTACCTCTCGGTTGAGAGCTCTGGGGACTGAATGAGATATCAATATTCTAAAAGGGGCCCATCAATATCTTATTTTGTGCAATAAAATGTCCTTCAAAAGCAGAGAGCTCTATATAAATAAAAATGAAGAGAAACTTATAACCCATAAATGCACCAGATAAAGTATGGTAAAGGGAAAAAAATAAAATGATCTCCATTTAGCTCAGTGGGCTGAAAAGCCCTCCAAGAATCAGCTTATGGGCACAGTGGCTATTAATGAAGATAAGAAAGGAGCATTAACTTTTGTCAAAATCTGTGGCAATAATTATCCTTCCTTTAGATTTCCTCCCTGCAGCCCTACCCACAATCAAAGGCATGTTAAAACAGTCAGAATGTAGGATATGTTAGACAGAGAAGAAATCAAACCCTTTAGAATTTCATAGGTTTAAAGTGCATCAGATTGAAGTGCTTTATCAGTCCACTAATGTTTTAAGCAATTCAGTTGGTTAGCATGACTGTTTTAAATGCAGTGCTATCTTTAATAAGGTGGCTCTCACCTCTAAGCTTACCTTGAAAAGACTTGAAAATATTCTTGGGCTGCCAACAGCTCTAACAAATAGGCAGCTACCATATTTAGTCAATTATTATCATTTAAATGTATTATTTAGTAAACCTTCAGAGGGCAAACCTGAGAAAGTCTGTAGAGTCTGCCTGAATTACACATTCCTACCACCTCTTCCACATCCTTCAGCTCCACACAAAAATGAAACGGAGCCAAATATATCACAGCAAAGGGGACAGGGTACCAGATCCACTCAACAGTCTAGATATATGCGGAGAAATAATGTTCCATTCGTTCCCTCTCCAAAGATTAAAAGCATCTTAATACCATTCCCTTTGCAGCTCTCCTCAAAGAAAAAATTTATGGCATGTCACATTTTATCTTAAAAATGTGTATGCTTCATAATAATTTCATATTTGAGTGCTTTATCAGCAACTTTTACATGAGAGGCATTCAGATTCTGAAACTGAGTATCAGGAAAACTCTCATTATAAACAATAGGATCTACAAACACTTAAATTTCGTGTGGTGGTACATTTTATTTTGTTTTGCTTTGTTTTAATTTGGCTTTCGCAAACACACCTGCTCAGCGTATTTTGAAAATACACTGAAAATGAATGTCTAACACATTTAGTTGCAATACTAAATTTTATCTTGTCAGAATCAGAATCTCTTCCAGAGAAGAAATACAACAGGTTTTAAAATTTGCAGGTACTGAAGGACTATGTGCTCCAACTAATTGCTAATCATTATCTAAAACACTAAAAATATATTTTTGGTCCCTGAGAGGAATTTGCAGAGCAAAAAACATCAATGTTCTGATGCCCACCTTCCTGTAAACCAGTGGGCTGTGCGAACTGTTAGATTATCAAGATCAATGCTTTCTGGTACAATATTCCTTCTCATTTGCTTAATCCAGCCAACACGGTTTTCCATGATGCAGAGGTTTAGCAGAGCCTCCTCATACTATAGTCTTACAGGAGTTATTATCTCTACCCTGCTGCACAAATTCACCATGCACAGGGCTTCTTTGTGTCCAAGGTCATTATAAGCAGGTGCCCCTGTAACAGGTCCTCTCGAAAGGCTCACACCTAACATTTTCCAACCTCCTCCTAGCATTTCTGCATGACTACCAGGATCCATAAACAACAGCATGCCCTGGCTTTTGTTTTCCTGTTTGACAAGTGACTGAACTTCAACAAGAAAGCCATTGAAAGAAAACAAAATCCTCTTCTTTCCACCATTCAGTAGAGCCCTCTTACATAGGACAGGGTGCCCCTTGAAGCTAGTTAGAATGTAGATAAAACAGCTTAAGACCGGCAGTGTGCTTTAAACGTCTAAAAAGCAACAGGTACTTTGTCGAGCAATAGAACAGAGCATAATACCTAAGAAGCTGAACTTAACATTCCTGTATCCCGGTGTGGTTAATGTAATTTCTCAAGTATTTTCACAACATACAATCACTAAAGTTACAATGAAACTTAACCGGATGTTAGTAGAATTGAAGTGTATACCACATATAAATCCTTGTACATTTGTATACTTCTGTAAAATTAAGAGGTTATTTGGAGAGCCAGAAACATAACAATACTTATCATATACCCACCCCATTGGCAGCTGCCATCTGCACTATCGTTTCTATGGCTGATTTATTAAAATACCGCCCATCTCCACCAACCACCAGTGATGATCCCTGGCGATCTTTTAGGTCTATGGAAAAGAATATACTCTGAATGAAATTCTCCAGATAGCATGGCTTTTCCTCAAAATAATAGGTTTTCTTCCGTAATCCACTTGTTCCTGGTTTCTGATCGTGGTAGGGAGCTGTAGCAAAAGTCAACAAAGGGAGAGGACCTTCTTCCATTTTTCTATACGTCCCAGAAATCCATTCTTCAAAATCACTCATCCTTCACTTCCACCGACTGGCTCAGTGAGGGTGTCCAGAAAGCAGTCAAGGGACTCCAAAACAGGTCTGTCCAACCTGAAGCTGCAACAGTGTCGTATGAGTAACTAAAATAGAGGGTTTGCCTGGATGATCACTCTCAATGAGAAAGCTTGGTTAATTCCTTGTTGTTGTCCCTTGTGAACAAGTTAAGGGCCACACACCCACTCGCACCCACACACAAAGCAGGTCTTCAAAGTTGTTTTGATGAGGACACTTCTGCCCACTTAACCAAGCCAAATACCCTTCAATTATTTTTGTCTCATTTCCCCGTTAGGGTAGAGATAGCTCCAAGGAGTGCTGCATGCAGCCGACTTCAGTTGTAAACACCAGGTGGCTGCCAGGCTCTACAATCAGAGCCCAGGCAAAGAGGGCAAAAGCAGTCCCACGAAGCAGGTTTGTGAACAAGACACCCTGGTGTGGCTCTCACTGCTCCTGCCACCCCTTAAACCAGAGCCTCTCTGGGCATTCATCTCTGAGAAGGCCATCTGCAGCTAGAGTTGCTCCATGCCACCTAGCAAGCTAAAGGTCAATCTTAAAATGGAAGTGAGGGAGCTCAAGTTACCCCTGGTTTTCTTACATCACTGTCATTTTGATACCTAAGAAATTTTTTTTACTTCACACATGCAATCTATCAGGAAAAAAATCATCTAACAGATTTATTCATTGGCGACCAAAGATTTAACAAAATAGTGTTCAGTTCTAGAAAAACAGATACCTCCAAAGCTGCCCTGAATAACCAACAGCTTGGTCATTCCTTTGAATATACAAAAAAGCAGGCATGAGGATGCACCAAGTCCTTAAAAATGTAAGCAAAACACGGAAAAATATATATATATATGTTTTTCTGAGTGCACAGGTTTGGATCAAGTTATTATTTAGAAAAATATGAACATAAGATTTTTAAAATTTTTTCAGTTTTAAGTGTACTTGACTTTTAACAAAATGTTTTTAGGGAAGCAGTTTAAGTCCTTTGTATCTGAAGAGTCTAGGATGTTTAAAAACATTTTACCTAAGTAAATTTCATATCCAATTCCATTTAATCCCCAAGATTTTATTACTGATCTATTTAAATACAAACATGTGTGTTCTCAGCCAGCCATGGTGGCTCACACCTGTAATCCCAGCACTTTGGGAGGCCAAAGTGGGCAGATCACCTGAAGTCAGGAGTTCGAGACCAGTCTGTTCAACATGGTAAAACCCTGTCTCCACTAAAAATACAAAAATTAGCCAGGCGTGGTGGCGTACACCTGTAGTCCCAGCTACTTAGGAGGCTGAGGCAGGAGAACTGCTTGAACCTCGGAGGCTGAGGTTGCAGTGAGCCAAGATGGTGCCCTTGCACTCCAGCCTGGACAACAGACCACGCATGCACTGAGGAATTAAGGTTTTCGAGGGAAAAGTGAATCATCCCTTGAGCAACAAAATCTGAGTCTTTTTATACTAACTTGTCAAGCAGCATCTGAAAGTAGACATGCACTGGTAGCTGCCAACTGCCCTCTGTCAAGAATGCGCCTGTGTTCCAAGGCTGCTCTGCAGAAGACCAGCAGGAATAATGGGCTCACGAGTGGAAAGTAGGCCACTGGCAAGGGAGCCTGGCCCCCTTCAAATGACAAATGGGCCTGGCCCATGTGCAGGAAATACCTCGAGACATAACATTAACACAATTCACAAAACACATTTATTACGTTGAAAACCTGTCAGGCAAAAGACAACTACTTTTTATAGCTTATTTTGGGCTCTTAATTTGTTTTAAAAAGTCAAATTCTTTAGAAATTAATTGAAAAAGCAAGCATGCTTTATTAACAGTTTACATAACCACTGTTTTTCTACTATAAATGATTTTCTAAATTCCTATTTTGTAAGTTCTGTGCCAAGTTTTCTCTGGTTTTATATGGGCTTGTAAATTAGGCTGGCATGTGTGTCTTGACATATTCGATAATAGATCCAGATTTATGAAATATCACTCCAATAATCTTTTCTTTGGAATAACAGAGCAACCAACCACGTAGTTGGTAGTTTTCTTAATGAGATCTTGAAATCCCAGGGTAAATTTGGGGGTACTTGGGCACAAGGATGTTCCCACATCCCATACCAAAGCCTCTCTGCCCACATAATATACCACACTCCAGCATGGTCTCTGCTGGCAGCCTGCCAGTCTCTCAGTGAAGTTCTTTCTGAAGGCAGAACTATGAGAGCAACATTTTAAGCAATGACACATGCCAGGCATGGTGTTTGTCAATATGCAATACTACACCAAAAGGACATAATCCTTGCCCTAGAAAAGCTTCTATTCTAAAAATGGGCCTGATCATAATTTTATGAACACTACAGAATTCAACCCCATATAAAAATATTACCAGAAGCAGCAATGTTAGATGGACTGTGAAGTATAGTAAAAAAGAAGAGACATTAAAAACATTAAGCTTCCTAAGACACTCAGACTAAGTGGGGCAGCTATTAAGAAACTCATTTGTTTCAGCTCTCCAGCAAAGGTTGAACTTCATCTTCAGAAACGTTACTGTCGAGCATAGCGAACCCAATTTGGCCTAATGAATTCGCCTGCATTGCCAGTACTCCTTCACAATGACACAAATTACATTTAAACCATATGGGGGATTTAAGGATTACTCCCTTCAGACAAGGAACTTTCATACTGGTCTTGGGCCCAATCAATTTCACAATGGCAGAGTTATGAACCCCTTCGCTCCCAGCCTCACAAAGACTCCAGCTCCCATTCGCATCAGCAGTGATACCTTCCCAGTAGAACACAGCAGAAACCATAGACTTACCAATCCTTTATTCACTCTTTCTTTTCTATGTTTTTCTAAAAAATATTTAATGGACAGTTAATAATGATGTCCCAGGCCCCATAGGAGGGCTGGCCTGAATGGGTTCACCTCTTCACACCGAGTTCTTTTTTAGCAAATGTCCCAGGAGTGGGCATAAGGGATGGACCTGATAACCCTATTTCCAGGCATAAGCACTAGAAAGAAAGGCAGAAATTTGGCTTAAAGCAGCAGGGTTAATCAGACCCCCAGCTCAAGGCCCTATGGTTGTGATAGCTGCAGGTGCCTGTTACAGACGGCTTGAAGTTTGTCCCCAAGAGTGAAAAACAGTCATTCATTTCTCCAGCTACCAGTAACTAAGAAGGTAGTAAATGCTCAGCCCCAGGCAAGGTACTGCATTCTAATGGAAAGGGCACAGGTTCAGCGGCCAGACACAACTAGGGCTCAAATCTTTCACTGTAAAATGTATGAGAGGTACAATCTACAGCAAGTTACTTAACTCATCTGAGCCTATAAAATGGGGATAGCTCTGAAGGTTGTTCGGAAAATTGAAAACAGGTCACATGTGAAAACACCCGATACCGTGCCTGGTATAAGGTAAATCATTGCCAGCCCCTCGTCCCTCTGGGCCTCAATTTCCTCATGAAATCATACCTCTCTCCCAAGGGTTTTGTGAAGATTGCCTCACTGAATGTCTAGGAAAGCCTTTATGAACTGGAAAATGATGTAAAGATACAAAATTTTTTTTTCCACGTTCTGAGTGGGGTTGGAGATAGAAACAAAGGGGGATGGGCCTCTGTCCTCATAAAGTTCACATCAGAAAGGAGCCATCACAGCGTGGTGGCCTTGGTGCTATCCTGAAGGTGTATTTACAGAGTTGTGGCTCTCAAGAGGTTGCAGTGAGAGGTATGAGACTGGAGAAATAGTTGGGGCAAGTCTATGGAGCCTTGTGAACTGTACTAAACTTTATTTTGTAAGTGCTGCAGAGCTATGGAAATTTTCAAGCAAAAAGAATATAAACCAATATGTTTTTGGAAAGTTGACTGGCTGGCAGTGGTGCCTTGAATAGCTTGGAGAAGGAAGACCGGAAAAAGATTAACCAAGGCTTGCAAAAAGGGTTCCATCCTTAGCTGGGTTGGCTTTGAGGGTCCCAGTCAATGTGATCTCGTCCAGCACCATTCCTCTGCCAGCTTTCTACATACAACTTCAACTTTGAGTTCTTGGCCCAGTTGGAGCACTGATTTCTTTTTTCCTCTCTCCTACCGTGAAGATACTCCTTGAACAACCTCTTTCTTCTGACCCTTTTTCCATACTGTGCTTTCTACTCATCCCCTCCCTTCTCTGAGAACTGTCCCCCAACTATTCCATAAGAGTGAAGGCCTGGGGCCATGTCTCTACTCCAGGACCCTGACTCCAGGCCATGAGCAAAAGGGGTAGATACCTGACTAAAGCTGGACCACTCATGTTTTCTCTCCTTAGAATCTAGAATTGGGACTCAAAAATGTACTAGTCAGATTAGGTTAGCCCTTGAACCAGAAAGACAGGTAAACTTATGAGCTGTGGGCCAAGAACAGTTGAGTCATGAGAATATCCACAGAACTGCTACTAGCCTGACAATATGTGAGAGTCCGTGACAGCTATGCAGGATCCGACTCTGGATCACTCATACATCTCTAAGAGTTGTGGATCCGATATACGGGAAGAATCAGAAAAGAATTCGAAATAGAATCAAGCAAAAAATAGGTTAGATGAATCTTCTCACATAGGTAGGGCTTGCAGATTCATCAGACCTGAGAATCGGGGAACAGGGGCTGGGAACACAAGCCACTGGAGACTTCCTTTTGGCGCTACTATTCTGGACTCGGTGCCTCCACATCCAGACCCTTGGCCAAGCCACACCTCACCCAGCTGGTGTCACCCCAATTCAACTGGAAAGGTAACCCCTCATCACTTCAGGTGAGAGAATGGTTTTTTAAGTTGGCATTTTAAAACATACTCTCTTAAAATTAAGTGTACAGATGATGAAGTATATCACATAGGATACAAATAATAAAATAAACATAGTATTAATAATTTTGGAATAAGTGGGGGAAAACTAGGTATATTTGGTATTTGAAATACATTTAAGAAATGTGGGATATGAGTTTATCTAAAGATTAGCCGTGTGGGTCCAGTTCATAATATGCAGGTGGTGTTACTTATTTAGACAGGATTTCAAGTTTAAGGAGGTATTAGAAGAATTTTATCAAAATTATAAACATTAGTGGAACATTCCAGAAAACTTGGACTGTATTATATTTATAACTTTAAGTCATTAGATGCAGACAGTATACTGTAGTACTTGAGGGAATAGACTCTAAGGCCAAAGAGACAGGGTCTGAACCCTTATTCCACCAGTTACTAGTAATATGATCTTGAAAAAGTTACTTAACCTCTTTGTGCTTCCATTTCCTCATCTGCCAAGATGGAGATAATGGTAGCAGCTCTATTTTACTTGTTGTAGTCATGTTTGAATGAAGTAATTTACAGATAGTTCTGAAACCAGAGCTGCTATATATGCCCTGTACAAGGATCTGCTGTT